TTAATTTTTACTTCTTTGCCTGCAAAGTAAAATTTGCTGCTTGTAAAAAATAATGTATGGTTAAATTTTACTTCTTCAATCTTTGCCTGCAATGGGCCCCCCCTCCCATGGCCGTGGACACTATACGACATCCAGTAGGTTTCTAGCAGGGACCAATCATAGGGCTGCTGACAGGTCACCGACTAGCAGCTATTAGCACCTTGTTTAATGTAAATACCATGAACTCAACCCAAGCGCGTAATTGTTGCTTGTATACTTCAGTACTAACAACAGGGGTCGAAATAACCCTCTGTGTGCAACTTGGTGCAAGTAAATTTGGTGTCGTGCAACTAATTTTTTGCCTGCTTGCACCATGGTGCAAGTTTGCTTTATCCACTGTTACTACCTGTAGAATTACCCAATAATATTAATTAATAAAGAACTGGAGTGGAAAGGAACAAAACCAGAATCCATGAAGTTTTTCTTCATTTTTTGTAAGTAACAGAAGGTTACTATCTACGTCGCTGCCAGCGGATGTTTCCCATCACTTCTGTATTTTTGGAGGGTGCAACTATTTTTCTTCCAGTGCAAGTATTTTTCTTTTCATTTGCACCAGTGCAAGTTGGCCCCAAAATCTATTTCGACCCCTGAACAATAACATGGGGTGATCTGTATTTTAACCCCATGGTACTAAGTGCTTCACCAATCACTTCGTAAAATCTACTTTGATGAACAAATCGAAATTGGACATTCAAATGGGGCTGCACTAGCGCTAATGGAGCGATCACTACGGGAAGGAACAGATCCTAGCGAAGCCGAGATTTGTGAAGCAAACTCAACCCATCGAAGAACAGGGCCGCCAAACAAATGGAGGGAAATGACAGACAACAACCCAACAAAGTCAACAATACCAGTCATTACCAGACCAACAAATGCAAAGCATCGAAAAAAATGGAACAGACTCACAAGCGGATTGTTCTGCTTGGAGAACACCACAGCAAGTTTAAGCACTCGCATTGGGAGAACTGTGGAACCTCAAACTATGTTTGCGTCAGCGAAAAGGCTGCTGAAGCAACCACTACGTGCAAAACTGCGATGAAGAAGTGTCCTGGGTTCATCCCAAATCTGGACGCAAGTGAGCCACAAAAGTAATAGAACCTATGCATGTTGCTTGTTGCTATCAACTTGCCTGTTAAAGATTCGGAACCGATACATGTACTCGTACCTACTATAACTTGCCATACCCTACCAAACACGACTACACTTTTACAATGTTCTTGCCAGGCCTTTTGAGCATAGGGGCGCCCTATGCTGTTATTTGTACCCCTATAGTCTATACTGTTTTTCCATAAGCATGGGGATGCTAATACAGGGCTCGAAATTAACATTGTCCCAGTGTCAAATGACACTAAATTTTCAGCTCGGAACAATTCAAATTATGCTTCGGGACAATTTTGGGGCAATTGTGAAATTCTGAGACCGTCCACGTCATTTAGGAACGCAATCCATCTATCCTGCTGCGGGCCGCCAGCAGTCCATAATACTCTGACAAACATTTGAATTTGACCAGTCAGGATTTTCCAAATGTCGGGAGGGGGGTCCTGAAGATGGTGGCGCACCCATGATACTGTATTTCCCTACAGTCTGGGGAAAAACTGATGGATATTTACTAATATTATTTACTTGAAACTGTTGAAGTGGACTTCAAGTTGTACAAATTCAGTTGTTGTTGTTTTTATTGTTGTCGCTTATTTCCTGAAAATCAGGCCGGGACAGTTCATCCTCAGTTCGGGACAATTGAAATCTATTTTTGGGACAATTCTGGGACAATAGAAAAAAAAGTTAATTTCGAGGCCTGTAATAGGGGTGTTTTTTGAAAATATAACTTTAGAATGAAGCTATAGCAAAGGGAAAACCTTCACTTCACAAAATCTGACCCTCATCAAGCAAGAAATATTTATGCACGCCGCAAGAAATTATTCCGCTGCCTGTTTAAATGCTGATTTGGAAAAAATTCATTCATGGGCTGTTCAGTGGTTAATGGAACTTAACCCAGCCAAAACAGAAGAAATGTGTTTTTCAACCAGAAAAGATAACTCAACACTCCAACCTCTTCTTTTAAACAACTGTATTATTAAGTCTGTCTCCTCCCATAAGCATCTAGGACTTACATTAAGCTTTAATATGTCCTGGAAACCTCACATCAACAACATGGTGTCCAAAATTTCCAAAAGTCTAGTCACTTTTAAGGGTTTAAAATTCAAACTTTCTCGACAAGTTTTGGAAACGTTGTACAAAACATTTATTCGACCTTGTTTAGAATATGGAGATGTCGTTTGGCACAACTGTACAGTGGCGGAATCTCAACTTCTAGAAAGAATTCAATATCAATGTGCACTCACTGTATCAGGTGCTGTCAAAGGATCATCTTACTTCTTAACTCGGAAAGAACTTGGTTGGGAATTATTATCAGACAGGAGACACATCCATCGTCTGTTGCTGTTCTACAAGATTATCCACGGTACTTCTCGTAGTTATTTGTATGACCTAGTCCCCTCCAATATTGTATCGACATGTTCGTACAACCTTCGAAACAAATTGAATCTAAGACCATTGACCACTTCATCAAACCGCTTTGCTAAGTCTTTTGTTCCTTACGCTTTAAGTTATTGGAACAAGTTAGACGTGGCAACAAGGAGTCTTAGTTATTCTTTGTTTCGAATGCACTTACTTAAATCTGTATGCCCCACCAAAGTCAAACATTTTAGTTATGGTCCCCGATATGCCTCTGCCCTTTTAGCACGCTTTCGCATTGGCACCTGCAGCTTGAACGCCAGTCTTTTCAGTCGTACGTTAGTTCACAGCCCGGCTTGCAGCTGCGGGTGCCAATGCGAAACCATATCTCATTTCCTACTTCATTGCCCTTCATACAGTTTTCAACGACAGTGTCTCTTCGGCCAACTTGAATCATTGGTAGGACACCTCCTTGACATAAACTCACTCTCCGACAATGCTCTCGAACAACTTCTACTTTACGGATCCCCTTCATTCACGTTCAAAATCAATTGTCAAATAATGGTTCTAACTCAAGATTTCACTATTTCAAGTAGACGCTTTGCTTCAACCTAATTTATCATTATCAATATTTCTTTGGTGTGTCCTACCAATCACAACATTAGCAAGGGTGGGAGGAGGGAAGGACCTGCGCTTTTAGTCTTCTTAGTTTCATTCTTTATCCAAACCCCATCTGTCTTATTATTGTTTTGCGTATTATATCTGTTCGTTAGGGTATGCATTGTTTTATCTTTGTATTAAGTTTACTGTTCGATGGCGGCGTTAATATAAGTTAACCAAACTTGAGTACGCCGTCATCGTGTCTGTATTTCTTTATATATGTTTTAATAAAAAAAAAAAAAAAGCAAGAAATAGGGTCTCAGGGGGTTGTGAGTTTCAAATTTTTCGGCTCAATGTGCAACTTGTGCTGCGAAAGTTGTCCTTTTGTACCTGACCCCTATGCTGTGAAAAAATCTTGGTGAGAACACTGCTTTAGTTACTCTGCATTTTGTGCTGTTCTTATGTTTATGCATCACATTATCTAGCCGTGGCGACTCTTGATTCGGGCTTACATTGCATTACCCTCAGCAAGAGTCGTGGAAAGATCCATTGGCAGAACTGCACATTTCCCGTTGGCTGCCCGATGCTCCGTTTTTGACCCGGTTTTTTGCTGTCCCGAGCTTCCCTACAATATAACTCCACAATTGGCCGGGTTGCCGATGTTTAGATCAGCCTAAATATTCCACAGCGCGACAGAAAAGTAGTAAAATAGCTAGTCGGCACAAGCTGGCGGCCATCTTGGATATAGTCGGGAATGTCCGCTATCGCCGTCGATAGCGTCACGATTACCGAAGCCCGACCGAAAGCTCTCCGATTATAACCGGAAAGGCTACCGAGCGTTCCCAACGGCGGTAGCGGACATTCCCGACTATATCCAAGATGGCCGCCAGCTTGTGCCGACTAGCTATTTTACTACTTTTCTGTCGCGCTGTGGAATATTTAGGCTGATCTAAACATCGGCAACCCGGCCAATTGTGGAGTTATATTGTAGGGAAGCTCGGGACAGCAAAAAACCGGGTCAAAAACAGAGCATCGGGCAGCCAACGGGAAATGTGCAGTTCTGCCAATGGATCTTTCCACGACTCTTGCTGAGGGTAATGCAATGTAAGCCCGAATCAAGAGTCGCCACGGCTACACATTATCTATCATTGTCATTTCTGTGAATTCCTTGAAAACATCTACTGTTAGTTTGTGTGACATTCCCTAGTGCTACAATCTGCGTAAAAAGTGGGCTTCATAATTTGCGTGTTATCTGCTAAGTCGTGATGGTATTGTTTTATTCTGCCGTTCTTCTACAAACAGCCAGCAGAATATCATGAAGATACCCATTCTCAATACACATGTTGCAAACTAAAGTAACAAATGTCCTCCGAAAATTCTCTTTGTAATGTATAACCACTTGATATCGACTAACAATGGGTGTGAAGTACTTGTTTTCACCCATCGTGTACCACCGGATCAGTGGTAATTGGCTACTCTACAAGTGAAAGAACTACTCTGTAGAAATCTACTGGATGGCATTCAGTGACGAGCCACCCCCCTCCCCCTTCTGCTCTAGATGCAAAATTGCACATATTTTTCTCATAGCCACAAACAATCTTGGTGTTTCGTACAGCTTTTCTGGGGACATCCATGGAGTTCTCTTTTTAACTCCATGGGACATCAGAAACTTCTCTAGTCCAGACACGTCGAAGGGACGTCACTCAATAAATTTTTGATCGGGGCATGCAGCAACAACCAGCAAGCAGCACCTCGTAAAAGAAACAAACATTTCCCAAACATGACAATTATTACAACTGAAAATTTTCGTAACAATACATCAAGAACTATTTACGCAGTAAGGGAAAACAGTTGATGTCAAATTACTTCCGTGATGAAATGGCTACAAAACGGATTCTTTACTCTACCTGCACAGGTCTGTGGTCAAGATCCAAGATGGAGACCGAAAGAGAGATTCGGCGTAAAGGATTGTGGGATGTTTTTTTTGGCGACGTGACGGGGGCGGAGGTATCTGGAGGTCAGAGTTCATATGGCAGCTCTTGCTGAGGAAGGAAGACGATGGCAGATCACGAAGTTCGACACAAGGACAGGCAGCAACAAGATCGACAAAAACAAGGGGATTTTGTCTGCAGTCTTTGTAATGTTTCTGCACCCTTTGACTACTTGGGAACAACACCGCCTTTTGCAAAATCTATTGTGTAAGTTAAGCATAATTTTTAATATAAACCTAGAGGTCGGAGTCGATCTCATGTCTTCGTCAGAGGGACATTGTTCTAGATAAACGAACATTTTTTATTACATGCACTAGAAATCAATTTGGTCTAGAGTACAAAAGAATCTCGGTACTCCTTTTTTTCCTTTTTTTATTCTACAGAACACCCCAAAAGGGTTTGCACAGATTTACAGATGCACTGTCACCGTTTTAGGCCTCCGGTTATTTGATTTTGGACTGTTACTGGAAAAAAAAATGTTACCAAAAATTCTGCTTCTGTATTATGATCAGAGTGTCACGACAGTGTCGCAAAATGTAATGAGAAGATGTGATGAAAGGAAAGAATCATCAGAACAGGGGTAGATTTATTGCTGTTTGCGTTTGTTGTTACACTATGTTCTTTTATTCAATTTGTGTCCTAACCTTTGTATTTCCACAGTTAGTAATATGCTCCAAATCTATGCATCTTAATCGTTTTTTTCAGCCCTTCCCTTCATGTATTTTATGGCGCTTTTGCAATAAATTTAAGGTCTCCAGTGGACATCATCCATAAAAATTACTTGGTCTGGCCTTACTATTTAGGGAATGACCTGCCTGAGGCATGTCCAACTTTCCCTCCCCCCACAGTATTTATAGGACAGCCCCTGCATTGTAAGCAATTGATACCAGATGGGGAGAGAAGAGCTGTCTCGCATCTGAATCAATGCAGAGATTGGTGGGGGTAAATCATTATATATCTAACACAAAAGGTCCACTGCAGCGACATTGGGACCCCCCACGAGGCCCGTTTTCGAACTTGACCTTGGCCTCTACAATGGTGGCTTGCATACCAAAAATTATGAACATCTATTTAAATATACTTGAGTTATTTTGCTAACAAGCCACAAACACAAAAAAATCCGCTGCAGTGACGTACGCGCTCGCGCCGGATCGTGCTGTCGTGATGATAGTCTATTTGGGTGTCCTACAGTAATTATCACCATAAAATAAAAGTTCTCAAATGATAGCCTCTCCTATAAAATACAAGCCCCCAATACACATTGCAAACACGAGATTAATAGGAGATATCCATATGTCAAGCAACAACTCTTGTGTGTAGTCTTACAACCTTGCACTAACACCAACCGACTGGTTGTTATATAATAATTAGAGGATACAGGCTTCGCCAGTAGCCATCTTCAAGTTCAATGTGATTTTGCATGACTCAGCAAGGGCAACAGAGTTGCATAAATGCATAATTAGAGCTGGTAGTAAATACCTGCAAAAACCACATTACAGACTGCGCTATAGTATAGATAAGCAAAGGATTATCGTGTTCCATTCTCCTGCATAATATGCAACATTGTAGACATGGCTGTATTTGACTGACGGGTATTTGACTGTATGTCAGATAAAACATCTATTGCTCAAGATAGAAGAATCCATTCAGTGATATATTGAATGAATGAAGACCTTTATTGTACATTTTTGCTATTAGCACAAGTCACAAGATTACAATCATATGCAATACATATACAAATACATAAACATATAACTGTTGCATGTATACATAAACTTCTAATGTATTCTAGTCTTTTTAACTTCTTCTCTCTTCTTAGTGATTGTGTAGGAGTAATAAATGTAGGAGGCTGTATGATTGGTTAGATTTGGTTTGTCAAAGGCTAACACTATAGTAACAGATGTATAAATTTTTTCTACTCCTTTTCTTTAAGGCCCGATTTAGAAGAAACGCTTAAGGGGTTTTGGCCAGGGAAACGTTTCGGAACGGTTAACCGTTCCCGGTCTAAAGAGGAAAAAACGGTTTGTTATGGGTTTTCGCGGACCGTTTCCGAAAACCACCTCAATCATGGTTTTCGACCGTTTCAGAACCCTTCAGCGGGGGGCCCGAAACGCTTTTTGCTAGGTCTAAAGTCAAAGGGTTTCTTGAAACAGTAAACCAGGTCACGTGTCATATGCTAATCACATGCTAATAAGCCCGCGGGCGTCCATTTTCTGGTATATTCGTGCCATATTCGATTGTGTCCATTTTCGCCATTTTATATCATGTATTTCTCGAATTTTTGTCATCCTTTATGTCTGGGGGGATGGCAGAAGGCCAGGGGAGGGTCTGGACCCAAGAAGAGATCCGCTGCTTGATCAGCTTGTGGGCCGATCAAACTATACAATCCCGCTTGGAGACCTCGCGTAATAGGGAGGGCATACATATGCTTGTGGACGGGCTGGCGGCTGAGGGGTATTTCTACGCACCCCAAAGCAGGTTCAAGGCCCTGAAACACAAGTATTGTAAGGCCAATGAGGCAAACCGTAGAAGCGGTTTGGGGAGGTCATCATAGGTCACTGTGGGTCAGAAACATCCTGCGCCACGGGCGGCCCGAAACGCTTCCACCTCTGTGTCTAAAGACGAACCGTTTTCTGTGGCAAAACGTTTCGTACCATTTCGAGACGGTATACCGTTTCTAGTCTAAATCGGGCTAAATAAAGTATCCGAAATGGGGTTTGCCTCTTCTATTTGGTGTCTGGTGACTGTAATTGAACTTGACAGGTCAGATTGAGGAATAAGAATGGCGTAGGCCAATACATTTGTTCATGTCACTTGTCATTTTATTGTGATTATAACATTCAAGTTGATTTATTGCAATGAGGGATAATGCTTGTGCATTAGAATTTGTTAAGGCATCAATCCCTGGAGGATTTCATTTACTAATCAAAGACATAATGCAAGTATATACGTTTAACTACGCCATCAAGAGACCTAGTAAATGATGACTTTACTTTGATTACCAAGATTTTTTCCCTTGTGAGTGTAACGAGATGATGGCCAAAGTCAATTTATTATCAGGTCCTGACGCAATTAACAGATGATCCCTGATCTTTTTTAATCCTGAAAGTGAGAGTGCAGGTAATTTTCTCCCAGTGGCAAAATGGTTACTGCTGGCTAAGGTGTACTGCAGTAAGCCATATATGTACATTTAAGTAGAGGACTGTCTCGACAGGCAGGTGACATGCAAGAGCAGCAGGAAAAAAGCTTGCCAGACGAGTCTGACAGCGTAAATTTAGGCCAGATTACGGATAGTGTTCTCTCGGTTAGGCCAGACCAATTTAATTTCTTGGTTAACGGATTCGCCGCTTCATTTTTTTCTGATTTGCAAATAAAAATAAAAATTTAGAATCAATGAATGGTATCATTAAAAGTTCAAAATTCATTGTTTAAATTTTGAACCAGCCTGGTATGTTGACTTCATGGCTCCTATCGTACCATTTTGGGCTATAAGAGGATGCCTAGGCCTGTTTTTTTTTTTTTTTTGCCCTCCTGCTCCATTATTTTTCTAGAAAAATCCGTTAACCAAGAAATTAAATTGGTGTGGCCTTACTGTGCAATTTTGAATGTTTAAAGATTGACCAGTTCTCTTGGGTCACCGATCTCCGTTAGTATAACAGTCAGTAGAAAATTATGCTCAATTCTATGTTGATTTTGGAATGTCCCAACCCTCTGGCGAACAACAAATTTGGCTCAAGCTCTTTGACAGTGTGGGACCAAGGACATTGTCTGCTTGGAGATTAAGTGAGTCAAGTGAAAGAACTTTCCAACAACCACCAGTGCCCAGCTGGAAATGATGGGGTATAATTGTACAATGTTTCCACCTTCCAGACTGGACTGCTCTTTCGACCAACATGATTTTCTTTTTGATATAACCTTGCCCTTACCAACAGAGAATTGGTACTATCCAAATAGCTACTTCATTACATGTAATAGTTTGTGTTGACATATATACAAGTGATGGTTCGAACATACATTCTGTAATTTACCAAAGAGAACCATAGAATTGCTATTCGAATAGAAGTAGAACATCCCTGGAATACTCAATCTATTCATATGTTGCCACCTCAAGGCTGTTGGAGATGGCCTTTGTGATGAAAGACCAGTTTTCTCAGGGGAAGGAGGGACATCTAGTCCTTGGGGCCAACTGTTGTCTGTGTGGCAAGTGTGTCTGTTTGGGACAGGTGAGTCTTGCATCCACAATCATCACCTGAACTCAATTTTTAACCTAATGCTTTTGGTTTGATCATGTGTCCATGTACTGGCCATGCAGCAAGACAGTATGTAACATTAGAGAAAATAAATGTTCATTGGTGCACATACAAACATACACTTATCCCTACACACATTAACACATGTTCATCAATACACACACAAACACGCTCATCCATACACACATTAAACACATGTTCATCAATGCACACACACACTCATCCATGCACATAAAGAGTTTCCTCCTTTGCAGAGTTAAATTTTGGGAGGAATGTTGCAGATACACAATATTTTTGTGTGGGAACGTTGATATGCAATTTTTACATGGGCCACATAGAGGGGGGTTTGCCACCAAGAGGATGAGGGAGTTATGCACGGCAGAAACTCTGCACCTTCAAAGCCTTATAAAAAAAAAACTTATCATCATTTGGCACAGATGTGCGAACTTCCCGCAATAAATGCCACCAGTGCAGGGAGGTGTTTCTGTCTGTTTCATGATGAGCCACAACTTTCTAGCAGTTGCCAATCAAGTTATCAATATAAAGCCAACCATAACAAGAAGCCATAGCTGACAATCCTCCGTGAAGTTTTATATATTTCTTTATATATTTCAACAAAAACAATCCCAAGCGTCAACGCCAGACCTACTGTGCAGACATTACAATTAGGCAACGGTCAATACAATGAGGGCGCGTCACAAGCATAAAACATAAAAAGATCTAAATCCATTACTGCTCCCAGGGCGTGTAAAGGTACTGTGCTTCAAGTTCGAAGTTCGTTTTAATTACACACGCACAACCATTGCATTCACATAAAGATCGGACTATGGTCGTGTCACTATTAACGAAGACAGCCCCACCGTCTTACCGTGCCTGTTACTTATTAAGCGCGACTGGCCAGCACCGCGAGTGTTACTAATACTACCGCTGGTCAGATACCCGGGATATCTGCTTAGAGAACCTCTGCTACCAGACAACTGCCTAAACCTACGGCCTATTCCACAGGATTGTAAAAGTAGGGATGTTTCTAAAATATGCATTTACTTCAATATCAAAACTGCTACGGTGAAAATAAAAAGACGTGCCTCATCACGGACATAATGCCACACCACATGCGAAATTACACAGAAATGCGACGTACGGAAGAATGCGTTTTGGCTGCGAACATCTTCCAAAAAACTTGGCATCTCTTAAGCATGGGCTAAAACATCTGGAACCACTTATCAAAACCACCCCGTATCTGCATGAAGTTCCACCCCCCCCCACTGCTATTCCAAACAACGCGTTTTTCTGGACCATTCCAATTCGCCTCGTAATTGTAGGGGTGCGTCTGCAATATTACATTGACCGCGAAAGCAGCAACGGCAAAAATACACATTCGTGCATCAACACGGGCATGCCCGCAGACGGCGTATAAAATTGCGTGCCGATTACACAAAGGGAACCCAGTGTTTTGACTGCGAACATGAAAAATCAGCCGTTCACAACACTCCGTCCGGAGGTCCTGACCTCCTTCACGGAGTAATAATATTCCTGAAAATCGACCTATATCTATTAAACGACTGCAAAAAACAAGTTTGAGAAGACCACCAAAAGGAAACCGCATGCACCCAAAATATTAACACCTTGCTGCTGCCACATAAATCTGCAAAGGAGCCCATGTTCATTAACACACAGTACACACAAACACACACATCTTAAACACATGTTCATCAATGCATACACACACACAAATCCATGCACATGAACACGTGTTAATCAATGCACACACAAATACACACACACACTCATCCATGCACACACACTCTTCGTACACAAACATATGTTCATCAATGCACACATACACATTCATCCATGCACCTAAACATGTTTATCAACACACACTCATACATGTACATGTTCACACTCATCCATGCATGTACAACACAAGTCAAACAATATGTGCAAACACACACACACACACACTCATACATGCACACAAATAAACACGTTCATCAACACAAGCACAGATGCCCAACTCACACACACACCACAACCTCCTCCCGTTGCCAAATTATGTCAACCCTATGAATTATGTTTCTCTTTGATAATGCAAATAAGATCCTCATTTGCCTCAGTTGTATCATGAAGTTTATAATAAACTAGAGTTCCACGATCTCATACCTTCGCCAAATGATGTTAATCTTTATGACTGACAAAGATGATTCCTTCTGATTATGCAAATAAAATCCTCATTTGTATTATATTTATATTATAATATTGTCTTATAATATTGTATTATACAATGTATAGTTGATCATATTCTCCATCAAAAGACAGCCTTATCTTAGCAAAGAAAGCCATTCTATCATTTCCTCATAAATTATGCAAATGAGGTCCTTATTTGAATAAGTTATGTTTATTGATGTTCTCCTTCACTTAACTTTCAAATACCCCAAGTATGAAATTCCAGGCAGTTACATGTAGCATTATGGAATTATAACATTTTCTCATTAATTATGCAAATTAGGTGTTAATTTACATAATCAATATCTGCCTGTGTTTCTCTCGTTCTCAATTACATATGTCACAGGCTTGAATAGTCCTATAATGTAATGCAACTGATTTATAGAATTTCGCCATTAATTATGTAAATTAGATCCAGATTTGCATAATTGTCACATAATTATGTCAAGCGTCACTTGAGCTACCTACATACCAAAATTCACGAAGATCCGTCCACCGGTTCTTGAGTTATCCTCTTTTGAATATTTTCAAATAGCCCTGCAGTTCCTGAGCAAGCCGCTAGGGGGCCCAAACTCGTGTCACTTCTTCCCCAGCATGAGAGCTACCTACCATCCAAATTTCGTCACCCCAGCATGTCTAGATCATGAGATATCAAAACCGGAAGTTCAGCTGCAGTACCATAACAAGCCGCTAGGGGGTCCAAAATCTAATCATTTCCAGGTCTCATCAAGACCTACCCACCTACCAAATATCAAGATAATCCATCTAAGCTTTCTCGAGTTATGCTGTTGACAGACACACACACACACACAGACACACGGCCACGAAAACATAACCTTCTTGGCGAAGGTAAATATATCACATCATGTGAATGCAACAGATTAGGTTGGTTGCATTCACATGATGGCCTGCAACAGACAGGTTAAATTTAGTCAGCGTGAATACAAATCATCAACTGGTTCTTTGGGGGTTTCGATTGGATCTTCAAAAACTAGTATGGTAGTCTGGTATAAATGGGGTATAAAAATTAACTGATCATGTACAGGTGCTTCTTTCCCTTTACACTTTTTTTTTCCAAATTCCAGAACTGCAGCCTATTTTACACCAAGAGATTCTGCCTGCCTTGTGTGTTACAAAACATACAGGAATTTCCACTGGAGATCCAAGACGAGGTAGCAAAGAAGAAAACTTGGGAGATGCCAAAATACTAGAGCCTGTGCGCGGGACAATTACATGTACAAATATGTACATTTGTTTGTTTCAAGACACTTCCTTTAATAGCTTTATGTAGCATATGCAGAGGAGATATGCTGTACTGGAAATATGCATGTCTCATCTCACTGCCAACAGCATGTAAGTAGCATTAAATTAAATTTAAAAAAAAATTTAATGTATTACATGTATGTGAGCATCCTTTATTTATCTCACAATAAGGACATTTAAATAGCTTGCCTAGTTGAGTAACTTTTACATTACCTCATTACAGATGCCATCTATGTCATGATTTAGCTGTACCACAGGTAATGTGTAGAACCCCTAACCAACTTTGGACATAGTAACAAATGTATATTAAATCTGTCCTTTCTAGCACCATACAAGACATACATGGACCTGTACAAAAAACACCATTAATTAAAAACATTTGAACTTGGCTGCTAGAGACAAGTAAGCTATTGAACATCTATGAGACTTGAATACCACATACATGTAGGTACAGTTAACACACTGTGTCTCAAAACCACTACATTTACATTGTAATGTAAGCTCAAAAGCAGGTATATGTACAACAAATACAAACACATGGTATTACATGTAGATGCATTATTAAATATTCTTTGAAGAAATTTATTCAATAGTTTGGAAAATCTGTATCACAGTGTCTTAGCATTTTCACAATGCCACTCTAAGTACTGTTTTGCACCTCTATATTGCAGAGGAAATTAAAACTAGTGGCACAATGTAGTGTTTTATTGACCTGGTTTCTAAGAAGAGAAATTCTACACAAAGTTTATAGTAAGGGCAGCTATTATTCTTCATACTTCAATAAAGCCATTTATCATCTACTTGCTCAATTTGATAAATTATTGTTACATGTTGCAAAATTGCTATCAGAAGTACATGTACATGTAAAATCATGTAATACCAGGCTGAGATTCCTGCTGGATTATTCAACCCTCGGCCTGCTGTCTTCTGTTGTAACCAATATGAAGCATGGGTGCACTCCTAGCAGGCATGTTATCACATAGCCAGGGTCTAGCCTCTGTAGCACTGCAGGCTTATAGAACTGGGGGTTTGGTTGTCTTCGGCTGTTTTCTGATTAGCCCAGTTCTAAAAACGGGGGTAATTCAACCAGGCCAGCTATGTTGTCTATATGCAATCAGAAAATATCACATAAAAGCTCCCAAAGACCATGAAGACCCCCCAAACCCCCAGTTTTTGGTATGCTATGGAGGCTAGCCAGGGTCCTATATAATATAGTAGTAGACAGGTAGTTTGAATAAGTGTAGACTCTGAGGCATATATTATGGACTCTCCCTAGAAAATTGATTCACTGTCCTGGAGCAGTCTTTGGACACAAGATCAAACTGGAATATCAGCTAATGCGTTTGTCTGGAAATACATAGGTGTATTATGGTTTATGAAGAAAAACATTGATCAAAATTTGTACAATCCATGCACAAAGTCCAGATGTACCAAATGCAAAAACACACCCCTTCACAAAGAAAAATCCCAGAACAGAAATGAAACATTTTGATATCAGTGACTATCGGTATTACTGGGGCATGCGTGTCTTGGATTGATTGCCCATTGCTTTTCCATTCTGATGTAACTTAAATGTAGTTTAGCAATATGAGGAATAGATTTGCCTGCAGCTTACTGTCTATATACAGTACATGTACAAATGTACATGTACATGTATCTCAAGCATTCCAAACAGATGGACAGACATATTTCGCCTTTTGTATTTATCCTTTTGTTGTACAATTGTGGACCCCTTTTTACTGTGTTGGGTGTCCAATATACATATAGTCATGTATTTTTGTTGGTGCGTCATCACCGCAACCCTTCCAAAATACGTAAAATATGTAACTTAATTGCATAATAACAAAGTCCATGATATGTCTATAGTTTGTTGTGTGTTGTGTTGTGTTGTGTTGTGTTGTATTGTGGTGTTGTGTTGTGTTGTGTTGTGTTGTGTTGTATTGTGGTGTTGTGTTGTGTTGTGTTTGCAGAAAACAGGAAATACCATTTCAGAGGTTTAGAAATGCTGAATAGTGGAGCATACACCTGGACCCCCCCCTCCCCAAAAAGATTTTTTTTTTAACAATCAACACCTTATTTTTGAGAAACAGGATTGGCTTACCAATACCAGTGCCACTAAGAGTTCACTGTCCTTAATTATACAAAGCACTGATCAATTCAAATTAGCATGCAAATGCTCACCAAGGATCTCTAAACTTAACATCAATAAGAG